GGAAGGATGGAAGGCTGAGTCAACCTTGAGCCAGTGAGATTTGAAACGCCGAACTGCAGATAGCAGTCAGCTGAAGTGGCCTGCAGTACTGCACTCTAACCACTGTGCCACCTCGGCTCTTTTCAGCAGGCCACACCTACAGAAGAGGTTCCAAAAATTTTTGAAACCCACCACTGATAGTTACCCAGAGTCCCTAGCCCCATTAATTAAGGTTTATAAAGCTAAGGTTACCCCTATGCTCTTGTATGGAGCAGAGGTTTTGGGGGTCTATACCCAACCATGGTCCTAGAACAAACACAGTCCCAGCACTTGATATTTTGGGTGTGGATGCAAGAACATCTGCAGCAGTTAGAGCTGAATTGGGGATTAATACAATTCATGCACTATCCAAAATTAGAGCATATAACTACCGATGCAAAGTCAATGAAGTGGAGACTAATAGACTCCCCAAGTTATGTCAACTAGAGCAAATAATATTACAATCACAAATCTGGATCACCAAACTAACAAATTTTGTAAGAAGCTATGACCTTCCTATCTCTTGCATAATAGGAAAACAACTCAAAAAAAGAACTGCCCAAAGAATTAAGGATACAGAAGCACAAAATGATATAGCTATCCTTAGTAAGGTGGGTAACTTAAAATGGCTGAGCAAATACAAATGCACTGTTCAAGTAGACAGCTATTTGAAGTTACAACTGCCAAAACATCTTGGGTAGATATTTACACGAGTGAGATTTGAACAGCTTGACACAATGGTCAGATATGGGAGATTCCATTCTATACCCTACAATGAGCATCTCTGCATTTGCAGAGTGGCAGAGGTAGAAGACCTGGCTCATATCCTATTTGATAGTTTCTTGTATAAGGGAGTGAGAGATAGATATCTTGGTCTATATACCAAAAGAATGACCCATTGGAATCCCATATCAAAACAACTTACTTTATGTGTAGCCAGAACCTGAAAATAACATTTAACACAGCACAGTACTTAAACAAAATGGTTCAGTTGAGATCTGCATATCTGAGATTGATTGGGATAGATTGTAAGGATGACACCAAAATATAATTTTAGAATAGAATAACAGAGTTGGAAGGGGTCTTGGAGGTCTTCTAGTCCAACCCCCTGCCTAGGCAGGAACCCTATACCACTTCAGACAAATCTTCTGAAAAATTTCCAATGTTGGAGCATTCACAACCTCTGGAGGCAAGTTGTTCCACTTAATTAATGATTAATTGTTCTAACTGTCAGGAAATTTCTCCTCAGTTCTAAGTTGCTTCTCTCCTTGATTAGTTTCCACCCATTGCTTCTTGTTCTACCCTCNGATATTATCAGGGCCACAGTGGCTCAGTGGCTAAGACGCTGAGCTTGTCGATCAAAAATGTCGGCAGTTCGAATCCCTAGTGCTGCGTTATGGAGTGAGCTCCCATTACTTGTCCCAGCTTCTTCCAACCTAGCAGTTTGAAAGCATGTAAAAATGCAAGTAGAAAAATAGGGACCACCTTTGGTGGGAAGGTAACAGCGTTACATGCACTTTCAGCATTTAGTCATGTTGGCCACATGACCACAGAGACATCTTTGGACAGTGCTGGTGTCAGGTTCCAAATAGCATCCAAAAGTAAATAAGAGTCCAAGGCAAAGTATTGTTCAAAGTTCTAATTTATTAAGAGAGCCATGTTGGCACATCTGAGAAAACCCAAACCTGAAGGCTTCCCGGTTTTCCCACCCGGTTGAAAGTTCAAGATCTTGCCCCCACACCCACAAGTCCATTACATGGTCCAATCTTCCACTGCCATGCTGGCCAGCTTCCACCCATCCAGTTCTGGTCAGGTGCAGAGGTGCAGAGATGAAGACCTTGGCTTTCTAGAAAGAATTTTGTTATGGGTTACAAACGAGGAGAGGGCTTAAGAACACCCACAAGTGTCTGGACACCCACAAGTGTCTGGAGCATTTGTGGGTGTTCTTAAGCCCTCTCCTCGTTTGGAAAAGAATTACAAAGAGGCAGTCTACTCACCCGCTCTTTATTCTGCTGCAGTTGTCAGTTCCATTGAAAACTGAAGTCTTCAGTTCATCATTTCTTACCAGGGAGTCCCAAGGGAAAAAAAAGGAAAATGAGATTCGACTTGAACATTTAGAGCTTGAGATGCTAGTTACACATTCAAGGGGAAGCATGAAAGAGCCTCTTGAAGTTTAGAAGTTGGAAAATTCTGGAGCAGAAGGAAACATATGTATTTTATCAGAATATCAATAATTTTAAATTTACCAGATGTGAAGGTCCAGAAGTAGTTAGATGCCCTTCTGATCGAAAGTGATTTGCACTACTGTCCAACATGTCTTGGGATCAATTTGGGAATCAGATTTATGGATAATGCAATCAACAGCATATTTCAGGAAGATACATTGAAAATGAAGGGAATTGTTGATTAAATTGGAGAGTTATAGACTATGCTGTATTTTCTTAATTCGGGGAGAATATGGAGCCCTGTTGTAAAACCCCAATATCCTACAGACCTAATCAACATGACTAATGAAGTTGATGGAAGCTGAAGTCCAAGAATGTCTTGTTCTCTCTTGGCCAAAAGAAGTGGTCATTCTAGCAGTAGAAAACTAAGTTGGTGCACAACCAAAATCCACTATATTTTTCTATGATTAATCTATGCAACTACGGGAAAAGTTTCAGGTATGTCAACAGAATATTGAGAAATTCATTCCAAGATCAAATTCAGAGATGCAGAATTTGGAAGAAAGGCACACAAATCTCCAGAAAGTGTCAAGGGATGAAAGTTGCAGTGAACAGAATTGGCATAAGCATAGCTGGGCTGAGAAGGAGCCACTATGCTAATGCTGCTTGCTGCAATTTTTCTTTCTTCTTTTTAAAAGATTATTAAAATATTTTAATACCTCAGACAAAGGTTAGGTAGGCAAAGAGGCAACAATCATAATTATTTTACTGTTTTAGAGTTAAAACAAAGCAAAACTATCAGCATCAAAGCAATAAAAATGGATGGTTTTTTTACCCACACTTGTGATGGCTTGATTTAAGTCAGTTTGAAGTGCAGTGTCTTTTGTCAGCATAAAATTGTACATGTTGACAATTAGGTTATATTTGTATGTGGAGGCATAGATGTAAAACACTGAACAGCAGGTAAAATTGGGGAAACAAAATGCTAGCAGAAGAAATGCTTACCACCACTGAGAGAGTGAAATCATTCAGTCCAAAATCTGAGTTTATTTTGCTGCTTCCAAATCTATGGCAGAGAATGAGGTGAATAAAACATCATTTTCAGAAGTTCTTTCTATTTTATAAGCAACAATCCTGTAGTGTTTTGTAAGGTAGGCCAGTATTTTAAACTTATTATGCAGAAAGGGAGCTGTGGCTAAGTAAGAAGATTGAATCTTCTAAGGATTTCAGGACTGAAAAGATTTCACTCAAAATATCTTTTTTTTTTAGGTTGGATAATACATCACCACTTCTCATGTGTCAACCCCCCCTCTTATTCTTTCTTACTCTTCCTTGCTGAAACTCTTAGTAGAAAAGCTTCAGGAGGTCTATAACTTCTGGAGATAAATGTCTATTCAAGCCTAGCTTCTACCATAGAAGATCCATCACTGCTTCCCGACTTGTCACTGAGTTGCTCCTTCGTTAATTAGGAACACCGTTCTTTTACAGCAATACACAAATTCATTCTGCCTTATTACCATTCAGGACACACTGCCCAAGACCACTCCCCATACCTCTGCCTTCCCCCTTCCTTTTCCCAAGCCCCTATGATGTGTCAAGTGGTGTCAGCTGTTCTTTGATGTCAGCCTCTGTCACACAGAGGCAGAATTTTTGACTGCACCTTAGAAGAGCTTAAAGATCAGGGGCAAACGGTGCCGTCCTCCCCTCCTTCCTGCTGGATGCAGCCTGTCAATCTTCCACTTCTGCGCAGAGAGCTAAACCCACCCATAGCGTTATTGCCTGCTGCCACGCTTTATCACAGCCGTCCCCCAAATTTGATTTACGCAGTCTTCAGCCAGATCAGCAGATGGGAAGACCCTTTTGGGCATGTGAGGTGTGACACGAATATCTGTGGGCTCAGAAGGCAAGTTATTCCATTTCCCCTTTGACAAGCATCAGCTGGAATTTCTGTTAAGTTCCTCCACTTAGGAATCCTTGTTCTTGCACTGAGCTTCTCTTGTCTTTGCTTGATCACACCTGTAGGAGAACAATGCTAGCAGTCAAGCGGAGCACTGTAGCCTAAGAAAAGGCAGGCTGATTTTGGACTCCTCTGTTTGCCGCCTATCACCCCTACCATCTGACTGGAAGATACAGCAGGCAAAGAAATGGCTGTAGAGAACACTACCAGAGTCGCTTTCCTAAGGAATTCCTCCAGCTTCCCTGCCAGGAATGAATCAAGTAAGTTGGGGATGGAGGGGTTTGCATGGTAAATGAAGCAGATAACTTTTCGGAGAATGCAAACACAGGATTAGCTCCTGGAAGATATTGCATTCCCAGTCCTACTCTCAGCCTTCAACACTTCAGGGAGATTTAGCAAATACCAAATCTGATGATTTCACCTTACTGCTCTAATTTGGCATCTCATTGCAATCCTTGCCCTTTTAACAAATGGAAACAGTTCAGTTCCAAAATAATGGAAAGAAAGAACAATATATTTTTTAACTTGTAGAGGCTGATTTTTAGGAATAGATATTGGGTGCCCTAGCCACCTTGTATCTAATATCTTATCTCCCCTCCCCCGCCCCTCCAGCAATGCAATAGGTTGGGTAAATGGATTCATTTCAGCACCAACATCCATGGACAGCACCCTCGGATTGCTGCTTGATGTTTTCTGCAGGAAGGCGCCCTATTAGCTTTACAAAAAGCTAAAAGGATGGAAATTGATGGGGGAGGGGGAGAAAAGCTTGTTTTAAGAGCTAGCAAAGCAATTTCTGAACATTTTAGCAACTGTTTTTAGTCTTCTTTTTATTTGAAACATTAAATCTGTTTGCCAGCTTGCTTTTTATATAAATTTAATAGTTCAAGAATAATTTCGAAATAAGTCCTAAGAATTTCAAAGGACTTACTTCCAGATATATTTGCCTATGTATATTGTTGTCTTAAGAAAAAGGCAATGCTTTGGAAGTAAATTGAAATAAATTATTTGAACTATGTAATAAAGACCATTAATGGTTCAGAAAGTAATTTCCTAGCATTTTCTGATCCACAGGCAAACAAATAACAGCAAAAGCATACACACCCCCCCCCCAAATTTTTTTTTTCATGTGGTAGAAGAGGTAATATTAAAAGCTGTTAAAATGTGTGGTTATACTATAAAATGATGACACATGTCATAACTGAATGCATAAAACACTAGTTACACTTTACCAGGAAGTCAAACTGTCATGTGGTTGCCAGAAAGCAACCTAAACCAACAGATTTACATTTGAGTAGAATTTTTCTATGATGAACTGTAAGTCCTATTTCTATATTTAGGATCCTGAAATGCATGAAATAACAAGCTTTTAAGAAGGATGAAATAAGATTTAATTAAAACTATTCAGCCAAGACACTCACATTTTAAAAAAGAAGGGGTACCACTGAATTTTTGATAAAGTTGGTATTTTGGGTATTTGGGGGGGGGGGTATTGTTGGAAGCAAGATTAAAGTAAAAGTGTTCAACCTCTAATAGTTTTTAAATACCTGTTTCAGTTAGATTTTTTAATGGAAAAAATGAAATAAAAGGAGCTGAGCATTCCAGCTTTTTCCCAGTTAGACTCAGGCACTGTTTTCACCTTCCAGAAGCTGTCATCCCCACCTCCAATTAAAAAGTGCACTAATCCACAAAATGTTAATATAACCCTGCAGTCTTGATGCAACAATATCCCAATTTAGATTCTTATTCACCCATGAAATGTTTGGATTGATTATTACCTCTGGTTCATTTTCTGGATTGGTCACCTCATTTAGTAGTTTGATCACTATCTCTAAATTAATCACTAATTACTTGTATCAAGTAATTATTGTAAGAGAATGGGGAAGAACCACCTACATGCTCCACTTTTGGGTGAAAGTAACATGACAAAAGAGACATCTGCCTGTTGAATTATATCTAATGATAGAGTAGTCATTAAGCCAACTCATCAGAGTTGGAATCTCATGGCACAAAATAGGAACTCCCTTCTGAGGAAGATGGCCAGGTATAAATCCATACATATCCACGTTCATAAAATAATAACTGTAAAACAAGAGGCACAGCGGGGTTTTCGCTCATTTGTTTGTTTTAGAAGACGCCACAGGACATTATTATGAGATGAAACAACAAACGTTTTTTAAAGTCACTTGCTACTTTATTAGTATTGAAATACTTTTTTTTCTAAAAAAGGGGGGGGAACCTAAGTGATGTATTGAGGACATATTTTTATCAGTTGGTTTTCTCTGAGTATTTTAACTGCTAATCAGTTAAAGGATATAGCCCTAACAATTTAAGAAAAGATTGACAGAAAAGAAGAGAGAAGAGAGAAAATATTGAGAGAAGAAAATATTGAAAAGTGAGAGAAGAGCTTAAATGAGAGAATTACCTTGGTTCCATATTACTTCTCCTGAAATCCATATGACAGATTATGTATTATTCCTCTTCTCATTGGCACTTTCCAATCAGCCATACTGCAGCGCTTAACAATACTTCCAACCAAAAAAGTGGATCCTTCCATTCTACTGGAATATTATAGACTAAACTATCTAATGGTCTACTGACACTAAAGAGCTCTAACAATTGTTGATCTGTTATGACTATCTCAAGGGAAATAAATGGCCTTATTTCTCAAGCATGGTGCTCAGCTTCTAAAAAGCCCCATTATATGGCAGCCCACACAAAACACACACATTAGTTGCTTTCACCCATGATGTTTTAGGCATACCCTTTAAACATTGTAAGTAATGTGTGATTTGTGCCATGGATTTTTTTTTCATATTTGCTTGGACAAACTTTGGGGGACTGGAGACTATACTGATTTTTGGAGAGAGCAATGACTGCCTGTAAACAGGGACATGCAATGATGGCGAGTGAAGCCAGTGTCAGTCCTGGAAGCCATTTTGAGCATTGGATGTTCAGCCTTACCACATTTAGTCTGTGGGAAATTGGGAGGGGTGGGTTGTATGGAGCTGGGGAGATATATAGTCATAATAACATTCCTTTCTCAGAGAGTCAAGGACAGCTTGCCCTGCATCTGGAGTGGCGTGACTTGGAGGCATCTCCAGTTGGGATGGTGCTTTAATTGGGCCATGTGATGGACATGTGGGTGCTGGCCTGGGTAGGTTCTTGGACTTTGATTTGGCTGGGGAAAACCTGGAAGCTTTCAGATTTGGGTTTTCCCAGATGTGCCAATATGACAGCTCTAATAAAATGGAACTTTGAGGAACTTCAATCTTGGAGTCTTCTTTTGTTGGGGGTGTTATTTAGAATCCTGACAGTCAGAGATGGACTGTTCTGATGGGATACATTTGGGAACAACATCATTTATTAGCTTTCTATGTTTTCTCTCTTAATATGGCAGCAACTATACCACTGATATTTGGAAATGGTAGCAAAGAGGTGCTTCAAGAGCTGAATAAAAGGAGGGGGAAATGATCACATCTTGCCACAGGGCCTAAAATCACCCATCCCTACCAGGATATACTGTATATGTTAATTGAAGTCTAAGTGAAGTCTGATTAAGCAGGTTTTGAGGATGAAGAAGCAATATAATAATTGTGTGCCTAGTAGAGTAGAGTAGAGTAGAGTAGAGTAGAGTAGAGTAGAGTAGAGTAGAGTAGAGTATGGACTTGACTCGAATAGAATAGAATAGAATAGAATAGAATAGAATA